AAATAAAACATATGTTTGTATTTTTTTTTTCTAAATTTTACGGTTTTTAAAAAATAAAAGAAGAAAATATTTTCATACTAATCTGAAGCATATATACATACTACTACAAAGTATTTATGTAGTAATCTATAGACCAACTAGTTAATTAACAAGTAAATATATCAAAGTTTTGAAAACCGAAAGAGACAACCGAACCTTTCATTTCGCCATACTACCACAGGACTCTGTCAAGAAAGGTTCAGAAGGAAGTAAACCTGCCTCATCCCAGTAACAGACTGTTAATTCTCCTTTATCGATGGTCACTTCTGCGGCAAAGCGCAACGCCGGTTGGCACTTTGCCATCACAACAAAAATTCATTAGTACGTATGTCATCGTCGTCGTTGTCGTTGCTAATAGAGCCATCCGGCACCCAACGTTAGCTGCTGTTACGGCTGCTTCCTTGGAAACTGATTTTGTGCACAACCTTTCCTGTCAAATTTGTATTTTTGACGAAACTTTTGAATTTCTGTGGTCTATCACTCTTTTGCCGGTTTACGATCCTAAACGACACGTTTCTCGTTTGTAACTGCTGAGTGCACGTTTAGGCTCTGCATATGTAAAATACCAATTCATGGAACATTCTAACAGTTTGCAAATGACAAAGTTTGAAACAACCTTTTCTGAACAACTTTATTGGGTCTAAGTGTTATTTGCTCCTGAATCACTTTTTCTTCTTTGACCGTACAAATATTATCTTCCTCTGAAAAGATTTGCGTCTGTTTCTAACATCAAATTTATATAAAAATTTGTCATGGTTTACAGAATAATGTGATCTGCGTCGTAAACACGTGTAAAAGCAACGGACATGGTGTCCTTTAGCTTTACCAAAAGGAAACGCGTTTAAAGAGAGGGGCTTAAAAAATGTCGATTTGAACTGTTTAGGCTGCGAAGTTTAGTGTGTGTGTTAGGATTAGCGGTTAAAGACTTACACGGAATTAGTTTTCTTGTATAACGCTGTGAAATTTTGTTTCATCTGACTCACCTGGATATTCACATCTGGTTAGATAGCAACATAGTAGTCTTACCTTCGTTGTGGTTGGTTAAGGGAATATTTTCATTATGGCATCGTATCGTCGTATAGCTACTGTTTACTTAGTTATCGCGGTTATCTGGTGGATTGAACAATCTGTAATACTGAAAAGCTACAAAAAGAGAACCTGAGCAGTATATATATAGTAGACATCTTTTTTAATTGCACATTTTCAAAAACGAAAACAATTCTTATATTGTTTTTACTTCCTACTGGAAAAAATCTAGTCTATTTTAAAGACAGCTCGAACGTTGCTAAAACATTTATGAGGCTATTTCTAAACTGTTGAAGAAAAGAAGCATTTTGATCAGCTATCTCATTTTGACCCCTGGCAGTTCAGGGTGGCAAATAAAGCTTTTTTCGGAATAACGGCACATGGTCTTGCATTTAAAACGTGAAGTTTTACGTCAAGCAGTCATTTTGCGCCTGAATTTAAAGCAAAAGACGAGGTAGAAAAAAGGTGGTTTTCTGTGAAAATACGGTAGAGTAAAGTGTGCAGAAGCATGCATGTTTACAAGTTTTCTTCATCAGTACTTAAAACTAGTTTAATTTTGGACAGGATTTTCTTTTATAACAAAACTGGTACAGTATTACAATTGTAAATTGCTTAAACACGTAGTGGGTTATGGTCGTCCTTTTGGCCAAATGACAAAGCCAGAACTTCATCGATAATGAATAATGATCATCTTTCAGAAAACCGTTTTCATTTTAACTTGGACCAAATGTTTCAATTCTGCTGAAGTTGTAATCAGAGTTTTTTTCAAAAGTAGAAAACATATATTGCTAGAAAGTTAAAGTAACTGCATTTGCATCTGGTAAGTGAGGAAAAGTTTTGGTATTGATAGGGCTCAAATTTTTTCGATGTGATAATGAAAGTTTTGAAAGATTGTTGGTCAAATTTTTGTGAAGTACCTTTTTGGACATCGAATGTTCTGCTTGTGGAATATTACTGTTCTTTTTTCAAAATTTGTAACCGGTAATTCTTGATAAAAGCAGTTTTATAGTCTAGTTTGTAGGACGACTTGCGATACTTTCTCGACCTCGTTTGCAAATTTCTGTGTTATATAGAGTGTTGAAGCTGGTATCGTATCGGTAACTGCATATTGATTTGTTATAACGGTCATTCTGCCGGAGAAATGTGTTTTCCAAATAAATTTATGGTCAGTTGAACTACGGCAGAAAAACTGAGCAAACATCAAGAACCGAGATGGGTTTCGTAAAAATACTATTCAGCGCTTCAAACCCTAGCACGAGAGCATTCTTTACCTTGTCATCAGAATGAGAAAAAGTGCAGTTGCGGAAAAGCAACTCGAAAGCAAGTTTTTCTCTGACGCATAATATTTAGCCACGTTTTTACAACTGGTATATATATTTACGTGCTTATCTTATATTGCGGCCACTTTTATCTTCTGTTATTGGATTATTACTGTAAGAAATTTGAATTTTTTATTGCTTTTTCTTGTTGAGAAATTTATAATAATTCTCATTTTCGTGTAAGAGGATGGATCCAAATAACAAGTTTATTGTGAACATGGTATTGTGAAGTTTTGGTACACTAGGGGTTTTGTGAAAACTTTAGCTGTAAAACATCAATTGATTTTGGATAATAGTGAACAAATCAGTTGTTTTCTCTCCTTTTGATTGACTCAGTATCGCTGTCTGTGTACCATTACAAAATTAATTGATTTTTTGCTAGTCTTAAACCGTATAGTTTTATATTACGTTGCCAGATTTTCTGGATTAACGTTATGAAATTTACTGAAGTCTGAACTCAGTTGTGGACGAATTTGTACCAGCCGAAAGTACAAACAATCAACGCCAGCTTCAAATCGTTAGACATATTCTGACGATCAGACATTCATTCAAACGTGGAAGCTAGTTCAAATTATTACCTTTCATTTGATCTGCAAAAATTTTTTGACAGAAAAGAAGGCAGCCAAGGGAAAAGATTTCTATTGCGCACATTCTGGATTTTTATAGGTTATCCAGTTCTAGCTGATTCTGAAGTTTTTTCTCCTTGATTTTACACTATGGCAGAGAGCCTAATCTAGAAGGAACTTAAAGTGCAATAATTTTCATCAATGGAAGTTTAAAATTATGATTGCATGTAACACGGAAGATATTTATGATGCAAAAATAAAATCGTAGTTTAATTAGGATCACAGTTATCATTTTCTTGGTGCAAGAAATCTGTTAGAGAACAAACACACGATGAGTCATATATCAAACTGAAGAGATGGGAGATTCTTCCTTATTCTATCATATCGACAGATCAATTTTGTGTGACGTACATAGACGGAGCAGTTCGTTTTTTGTGGTATATATCTTTTGACTTTTTCCTTGTCTACTTAGTCTTATGAAATTGTAACTCTTTGCCGCTCAAAGATACTTATTTTTAGTGGAATATTTGTATGTATGATTTAGTGTTTTCTAAACATCAGGATTTCGAAGTACTTGCTACATCTTATGATTATTTAGCGCAGTGATAACTTTACTAAGGAAAAATTGATTATAAAATACAGATGAAGTAACGGCATATCGTTTTTACCGAAGAGGGTTTGGCGAACAAATAGGAGAAGAAGGAAGGGGGGACAGGAAATAATACGGGAACTGCAGCTGCGCGCAGTTATATCTGTATAGAAACTGATAATGAATAACAACTATACACTGAATAATGAAACTTGTAACCATGTAAAAGTTTTACTTAGCAATATTAAATCAGGAAATTCGAGTTTGTTTTTGTAGGTTGCGGAATTTTTGTGGACAATTTTAGCATTCGCTTATGCGATACGTCACGTTAGGTTAAAACCCTTGATACATGAAATTACAAATTAGATTTAAACACACGTGTCAATGTATTTGCTGAAAAGGATAATGGATTAGTTCCAAATGAATAACAAATTTTGGTTACAACAGTCTAGTTTTACAATATTTAACTATCATTATTACTTTTCTGATAAAAAAAAATCATTTTTTTTTTGTCTCCAGTTGCTGTTGTAGTTGGTTAGTATTCACCAGCACTGAATAGGTTGTTCAATTTCGATTGAATACTTTTGGTATATATATGGATGCATGAATGGAAGATTAAGTTCAAAAAGAGAAA